CTCTTCCCACAAGAGCTCAGGAGCGTCGCCCGCTTCTTCTCCTCCGTCGTCACATCATGCGCCTCGAGATGGAAGCTGAACCTGGACAGGTACGCCTCCCAGTCTTCGGACGCTGGTTCGAATGGCTCGAACTTCGGGCTATTGGCCATCTGTGCAATCGCTGCCACCGGCTCTGGTGGTGCCCGTTGCTGATCGGCCACGGTGAGCTGCTGCTTGCTGTTGTCCGTCGTGGGTTTGGGATCAGCAGGGCTGCCTACCCGCACTAGAATCCCATCCTCGTCGCCAGTTGTTAAGTCCTGAGCTTAACAAAGAGTCAGAGAGTGATTTCAGCCAAAACTCAAGTTTATTCTTCTTCACGCTCACTTCTCCAACACGGTACAACATCTGATAGCCCGAACAGTTTGTCCATAGAAACTGTTCGGTATTTAAACATTCCCGGCTAATGTAGCCACTCCTACTTTACATTTAACAACCTATCAGGTTGATCGCATAAGGACCAATCATACACGTTCCCGCTTCCCATTCACTTGAACGTGATTGGACCAGTAGTCTTGGACTTGAAGCCCTAGTCCAAGACGAAACTTTGCATAGCTTCCCTATGGGATGATTCACCATATCCACTCATGTCTGCATATGAATACATTACATATCCACTGACTTCTGGATGTTTGAGTTCATTCTGTTGTTTACGGGCAGGGCTATTTTTGGGCAGGAACGCACAGGAACGGAGTTCTGGCTGGCTCCCAAGTTGGCCACGCCCGGCAGGAACTCATTAGCATAATAGGCCACACTCAACAGCAGAAACTCATTCGGATTAGGGGTGTGTGGCCTAACATGCAAAAAGCCCTGGATTTTGACAACAAACAAGGTAAAGAGAATAAGCAGCAATAGGTGGGTGTGGCTGGATGACCACACTTCTGGTAACATAGGGGTGTGGCCTAATATGCGAATGAGCTGTGCTGTCAGAGTGTGGCCTACTATGCTAATGAGTTCCTGCTGTTGGGTATGGCCTATTATGCTAATGAGTTCCTGCTGTGTAATGCCAACATTCTTATTCTAAGTCCTTTCATGTTGAGCTAGCAAGTCACAGGGCTTATCTACATGATCTCTTTAAATTAAATTCTGAGAGGATTATATTCCTCTGGAATTTACCCTTGCAAAATAAAAGTTTTGGAACTTCCTTTTTCTGCATAACCATTCTATGGCTGGCTTCTTCAGATATACCATTATTATACTTAATGTGCCTAAAGTGCTTAGAACTTTAAATATGAATGATCTTTTTAAAATGTATTTTCATTTAAGAAGATTGCATTTTTAAAACAATTAACCAGAATTGAAGTTTTCACTGCATTCTTCTTTCTTTGAGCCACAATGTTCCCGTTTGTTTTTGCTGTAAACTAACACAACTGTCTTCCTAAATTTTGCTCCTTTTTTTTTTTTGAAAGACACCTTTTGAGGCTGGTTTGATTTTATTAATCCAATCCAATAACCTTTATTGGCGTAACTATATCTTTAAAAAAGATAACAATACAAGTCTGCCCATATGCCAACAAACAGAAGCCATCAAAGTACAGTGATTTGTATAATTGCATATAGTAGTAATACTAGGAGAAAGTATTAAATTCGGAACAGTAATCTCAAGTAATTAAAACTGTTGCAATAAGAAACTTGGCGGTTCCGGTTCTGGCTGACGAGGAAGGATGTTTGAGCTGCAGCGCTGCCCGACTGGAACAGTATTTTAATTTTATTTTATATCCATTCAATTGCTTTTAGCCTATCTTCTATGGAATTTTTTGAGTGAACTGTTTATCTTTTGTGCGAGAAAGTTTTGAGCCAGCTGTTAGCTCCGTGACTCTAATCTGTTTGCCTCCCTATCACTGACTCTGGAACAGGGAGACTCAGTTAGCTGGTTTGCTACGATAAAGAGAGAACACTAAGAAACTCTCTTAATTAAGGGGTTCCTTTTTTAACTTTTTTTTTTTTTACTTTCCCCTCTCCCCATGAATTATAATGCCTGCAGAGAAACGAGCAGGAGATATAGAGGGGGCTGTTTTGTTCCCAGCTCCCAAGCAATCCAGGATTAGAGACTTTTTCAGCTCAAGTGAAAGTAAAAATAGGAGTAAGAATTATACTCCTACCTATGCTGTGGAGACAGCAAATCGTTTTTTACCACTTGAGATTGGCAGTGAAGAAGATGTGAGTACCCTGGTTGAAGATGTTATTAAATTATGAATTTTAATGCCACCTGTTTATAATGTTTTGAAAGGTTCCCGTTAGCAATGGAGCGGACATCACCGAATATCGGTTGCAGTGGGGAACGGCAGAAGGAAGCATGCATATCTGCTACTGTGGGCCAGGACTCAGTTATGAGATGAAAGGCCTCTTGCCAGCAACTTTATATTATGCCAAGGTTCAGGTAAAGAGAGAGAACAAGAGCATGCATGCTAGCTTTCCGATAACCTCCGATCCCGTGGTTTACAGGGTCTTTCTTTCTGTTTTTCATTGCAGGCTGTAAATGTGGCTGGTGCAGGGCCTTTTAGTGAGGTGGTGGCGTGTTTGATGCCATGCTCTGTCCCTGCCATGGTGACTTGCATCCAGGAAGCTAAGGTGGAAAAACCCCTCTATTCACCTTCCACCTGCCTTGCAATCAGCTGGGAAAAGCCCTGCGACCACGGATCTGAAATAATGGGATATACCATAGAGTACGGGGAAAAGCAGCCGATTACCGTGGGGAAGGTGACAAGCTTTTTCATAGACAGTTTGCAGCCAGACACAACATACAGGTATGACTTGCAAAGCTTGCAATGGGAAGCAGCCATTAGGCTTAGATGCTGCTGCAAATTTCTCCACAAATTACTTACTATGACTTACTATGTTCAAAGACTTCAGTAAGACATATGCTGATCACCCAGCCCAAGGATCCCCAACTATTTTCAGCCTGTGGGCGTATTTGGAATTCTGACAGTGTGGTGGGCACAGCCACAAGATGACTGCCACAAATGGCTGCCATAGGAGGTGGTGCCAGTAACAAAATGGCTACTGCAGCCGTTTACCTTCAGTCACATAGAGAAGATTCTTGTGCTGCGGAGGCAGATGCTTCCAAAGCAACATCTTTAAAAATCTGCACTGCCAATCAAATCTCCAATGGCCAATCAGAAGCCTTGCTGGGCAAAAGCCCCATCTCGCCCCACCCACATTTTGGAAATATTTGGCGGAGGCCAGGAAAGGTGAGCCCCTGGCCACCACATTGGAGACCCCCCTGACTCAGCCTGTTCAGTTTGGTTAACACACCCGCGAATGCCTGATGACCAAGTAGGTAGCAGAATAGAACTGAGCTATATGAGAACAGACATGTGTGAAGAGCCAGTTGCACAATACTGCATGGTTTGGAGGGCATGCAGTAAATCAACCTGCCAAAGAGCTGTAAACTAGTTGACAAACAGGAGAACTGATTGTCAAAAAGTTAGCTCCCAGTTCAAACAGGCAAGCAGTACATGAGCTGACCTGGAGAGCTTTTGAACATCCCTAATTAGAGTTGTTTTTCATTGTTCAGGCTCTCCCAGCATTTCATTATGCTCACTTTACAGATATTTGTTAGACTGGCTGATCACCTTAAAAATATGTATACCATTACAACAATGGATATTTGTGAGACAAAGTCCTATGCATGCATGTATGTATGTATACCATTACTACAATGGATATTTGTGAGACAAAGTCCTATAAGAACTCTATAATTAAAAGGGGTTGTAGGCATTATAGTCCTGTGCGTCCCATTTGCTGCTAACGTTTACAAAACAAAGAGCAGAAAAGGCCTAATAAAATGTTGGCGGGCTGCTAACTACACAGGGAGGGAACTTGTGTAAACCAATAAGAAAGGCTATCTCAGAGCATCTGACCTAAGGGGCTACAATTCCCATCATACCTTACTTTAAAGGTGAAGGACTTATTTCCCTGTACTAATACAATTACAAACTGTTGTACAAACTGTACTAATACAAACTGGGGCAGTACAATATTTGTATAGGAGCGACCACCATTCCTGAATGCTGTCATGGCACTAGCCATGATTCAGCATTTGGAAGCATCAGTGCAGACGGAAAAGCTGTTCCCTGCTATCTTGTTCTCTACCGAAGCTGCTTCCACCATATAAGTTTATGAATTGGTGGAATTAAGTAGGCGAGTTTCTGGAATAGTCAGTTTCACCCCAAAGGACATTGTAAGCGACATTAATTTCTTGACTTGTCAGGCCGCTGCAGGGAGAGCTAGAGAGAACATGTTTCACTCTTCCCATACATACATTACATACACACTTCAAAATGCTTCATGCTCATCAAGTAAAAGCATGGTCTTCCACTCTAAAATAGGATGTTTAGAAACATCTTTTTAAATGATTCCCAAACTGCTTAGGGGTAGGAAGCCATGACTCCTCCAATAGCTGCCAACTGCAGTCACACCAAAATGTACATACATCTGTTGCAGCAGCCATTCCCACAAAATTCTTAAAGCATTATAGAAGTAATTGGGTTGGATTTTATCATTTATGTCAATGGAGGTGTCAGGAGGGCGATGCCAACCCCCCCTCCCGACTACGCAGGAAGTTACCCCAGTAGCACTCGCCAAGGGAAAGAACACGGTCCTAGACCCTTCCCGGGAGGTCCAGGGATCCTGTCTCAATGTCCACAGAGAGGCGACAGTCCTAGGAAGGGAGGAGGTCGAGGGTGTGGAACCACTTGGGCAGGACGTCAGGGACCCGACCGCTGGAAACAGGGTTGGTGGGTGGAACGACAAGACCAAAATCCCTTGGAGCCCCGGCTGGTGGCTCGGTTACTTTAAGAAGTGGGTGGTGGGTGAAGCAGGTGTGGAGGAGGAACAAATAAAGGAACCGGACAGGTGAAGCCAGGGAGGAAAAAGGGTTCGTTCGCGGAGAGACTGAGAGGAGGGAGCCGTAATCCACTCGAATTCGTCTAAGCGAACTTTCCCTGTTGTGGCAAGTGAGAATACCTTGACCAATAACAATTCTGAGGCATACCTGAGCCGATGGTGTTCAGCCAAACACCCTGGCTTCGACTCACGACCGACTCAACCCCTCCCGTAATTCCGAGCGTGACAGGAGGTGATTTTCTTCAGATTCCCTTTTCTTCCTCTAGCAGTTCCCTGCATCCCTTGAAATGCCACTGCTGAAGGTCGTGGGACCCTCCAGAACAGGACGCCATGTGGCGCGGCGGCGAGGGGGCTGCTGGAAGAAGAGGGACTAAGCAAAGAAGTCCCCCCCTTTGTGTAAACGTAACTAGGGCTCACTCCATTCACCCAAGGTGATGAGATGGCAGTTCTTGGGTCTGTCTTCTTTTTGCAACTCCTGTGCCTCATGGCATCTGGAGGGTCCCTTGACTCCCACCAGGAGCATTTGGGGAGCTCAGGAATTTGCTATGGGAAGGGGAAGCTAGTGGGACTTGTTTCCATGAACGCACTCAGTGGACTTAACTCAACCCACTGATCATAAACCACAGTTATATTTATTTATTTAGATTTATTCTTGATAAGATTAGTATTCTGTCCCAAGTACGAAGAACATCCAAACATGAAAGATAAAATGCAGTATATACCATGCTAAGACACATATCTCACAAAAAACCCTTCCCCCCTTTTCTGATTATTAGGATACGAATCCAAGCTTGGAACAGCCTTGGAGCAGGCCCTTTCAGCAACATGGTGAAACTGAAAACAAAGCCACTCCCTCCTGAGCCCCCTCGTCTAGAGTGTTCAGCATACAGCTCTCAGACTCTCAAGCTGAAGTGGGGAGAGGGAATTGCAAGAACCCTTTCAGATTCCACTCAGTATCACCTTCTAATGGATGATAAGACCGGGAGGTGAGTAGTCTTCATTGTTAGGTTCCTTCCAGAGGGATGTTTTGCTTCATTTTGGTTATTTATAGCCCTGTTGTTATAAAAGTGATAATGCTGCAGATAACTATATAGTGACAAACTTAATGTTATATAGTGAATGTTGGTTGTTTATCTTTTATTATTGTTGTATTTGTTGAAATGATTACATTAAAAAAATTTTTAAAAGAAAGTGGAACAGGTTTTTCCCCCAAGTATCCACATGACATCATCTCCTAACTGTCTACCTTCAGGGTGGACACTTTCCCCTACTTTGCTCAAAGGTTTTCTAAAGCTGGTTTGATACATGCTTTACGGAAAATCACCGTCAAAGTGTACTTGGACAGGAATGTGCATATTTTTTTTGAGTTCTCATGCACATCGGCACCATTTTCCTTGCATCCTCCTCCCCACAGCCACTGTTTCCCTCCCTACCACTGGAGGGGGGAGGGCTTTTATAGACAGTCTACAAATCAGTAATTGCTAAGGTTCTCATTGAAGGTCAAAGAAGACGGGGATGGCAAAGGATGAGATGGTTAGACAGTATCATAGATGCAACGAACATGAAGTTGAGCAAACTTCAGAGGACGGCGGAAGACCGGAAGGCCTGGCGTGAGCTGGTCCATGGGGTCGCAAAGAGTCGGACTCGATTGTGCGACTGAACAACAACAAAGGTTCTCATTTGCCCACTCATAGCAGGAGATCTCCAGCCAATTGTAGCCCTTGCCTGCTGATGCTTAGCTGATCGATGGGTGGAAACTGGAGCCAAAGGGGGGTGCGATCATACTGGGGATAAAAATTAGAAGGGAAAAAAGGCCTGGTCTACTTACAGGAAGTTCTGACTATAAAGTTTCTCGTAAATTCTAGAGCTACCTGGAACTGATAAGGGTAGCTCTACTAAGCACCAGGAATTCTATGGTAATGTATGACATGCGCCTCCTTTATATTCACGGTACTATGAGCGTCTGCGTGAAGTGCCTGGTCAGAGCTGCTTATAATTTTTCTGACCAGTCCGCTATACAAATCTACAGAATACCTCTTTGGGGTATTTGTTTTACTTCTTTGTCAAGGATATTTGTAAGGACCACTGCCACGTGTATTTGCTTCACCATTAAAGAGTTAGGCCCCACGGCTTGTTAACTTCAAAGCAGAACAGGCTTTATTTACAGAAAACACAACAGGGGGATGGAAGCTTTACACAGAGGATAATTAGGCAGAAAGCTTGTTGCTTTTACTTTCACACAGATGTTAAACAGTTCACTACACCCCCTCATGATCACACCTTCCTGTACTGATTCGTGGTTAACTTTTGGCTTTGGTACTCTGGCCCCTCTTGAGCCCAACTGGCCACCAACCAGTTGTCCTGACTCGACCCAGACTGCTTCCTCAGCCCTCATTGAACCACTTCTCTCAGATCCTTTAAGGAGTGATGTATCGTTTGTGTATGACACTGTTGTATTTAGCTTTTAACTGTCTGGTCCCTTCCTTCTGAGGAACTCAGTAAACCAGGTTATTCCAGCCCCAATTATCTGTTTAACTGTTATTTGGCTGTCCACACACAGAGCTACCGAGCTGGAGCTCCTTCAGTTAGCTGACCGACCCTCTGTTAGCTCTCCGTCCCACTCACTAATGGCTTCTTTTCAACTGCCAATTCCAAACTGACTGTTTGGTCCATTAAATGCCAATCATCGAGGGTTCTGAGCAAAATGGCCCCCTCAGTCATGTGACTCAGCAGTGTTCTGTGTTTACTTTCTGCTGGTCCCAGATCTTTAAGTCCATCACATAATGTTACCCCTCAACACTCCTGCCAGTTTCCAGGTGTTGCCTGACAACCCTAGCAATTTCTTGATTGCTATCTCTCCTTATATATAATTGAATAGTGGGTGCCAAAGTTCTAAAATGCACTCCTTTAGTGTATGGACGCTTGAACTGTCAGTCAGAAGACGCTGGCTGGGTTGACTGGCTGCTTTGTGCAGTCCCGCCCAGTGTTTCAAGGTCTTTTGCATATGGAAGCTGATTGGACTTCACTGCATTCCACACCTCAAACTCACCCCCCTCCCCGCAAGGCAGTTGGAATGTCAGTTGCATATGGAACCTTCAAGGTCTTTTGCATATGGAAGCTGATTGGACTTCACTGCATTCCACACCTCAAACTCACCCCCCTCCCCGCAAGGCAGTTGGAATGTCAGTTGCATATGGAACCTTCAAGGTCTTTTGCATATGGAAGCTGATTGGACTTCACTGCATTCCACACCTCAAACTCACCCCCCTCCCCGCAAGGCAGTTGGAATGTCAGTTGCATATGGAACCTTCAAGGTCTTTTGCATATGGAAGCTGATTGGACTTCACTGCATTCCACACCTCAAACTCACCCCCCTCCCCGCAAGGCAGTTGGAATGTCAGTTGCATATGGAACCTTCAAGGTCTTTTGCATATGGAAGCTGATTGGACTTCACTGCATTCCACACCTCAAACTCACCCCCCTCCCCGCAAGGCAGTTGGAATGTCAGTTGCATATGGAACCTTCAAGGTCTTTTGCAAGGGTTGCCAACTCCAGATGGGAAATTCCTGGAGATTTGAGGGATGGAGCCTGAAGAGGGTGAGGTTTGAGGAGGGGTGGGACCTCAGACAGGTACACTGCCATAGACTCCACCCTCCAAACCAGTCAGTCCCACATAGGGAACCATTGTTGCCAATCTCCAGGTGAGGGCTGGAGAGCACTCAGAATTACAACTGCTCTGCAGAAGGGAGGGCAGAAGTCAGCTGAAGTCAAAGGGGCAGATAATGGTAGGTTGATGGTTAGCTGGGAAGGAGATGGGGTTGCCAACTACATGCTGACAAATTCCTGGGGATTTGAGGGGTGGAGCCTGGAGAGGGTGGGGTTTGCAGAGGGGTGGGACCGCAGACAGGTAGAATGCCATAGACTACACCCTCCAAACCACCACTTTGTCCTGGGTAACAATTGCTGCCAATCTCCAGGTGAGGGCTACAGATCACTCACAATTACAACTGCTCTTCAGGTAGCAGAGATCAGTTCCTCTGGAGAAAACAGTGGACTCTGTCATTATACCCTGCTGAGGTCACCACAGCAAATTGACACTGTTTGCCCAAAGTCAGAGCACTCCCCCAGAGCCTCTTTCTAGATCCCATTGTATTGCTTTCACAACGGGCTTTACTGCTAGTATTGTTATAATCACTCACAGTACTTTTGTTTCAAAGAAATTAGTAGGGGACTGATTAATCAAAACTCTGTTATTGCCTTCAGGATCATGTCCATCTACAAGGGATCCTGTCATACTTACAAAGTACAAAGACTTAGTGAGTCAACATCATACAAGTTTTATATCCAGGCTTGCAATGAGGCTGGGGAAGGTCCTCTTTCCCAAGGATATGTTTTCACCACTATGAAATCTGTACCTCCTGCCTTGAAAAGTAAGAATATACTTTAATCTTTGAAATGGTACACTTTGACCATTGAAGGCAGCAGTGCTGGCTTTATTCTTTTTCTCACTGCTCTTTTCCTTGTGTATTTTTTAATATTACTCCTCTTGTGCCCTGCATTTGGACTTCCTTGGTGTGTGGATCTGCCTCCTGTGGCAGCCATTTTGTCATTGACTCCACCTCCCATGACAGCCATGTTATGTCAGAATTCCAAATGTGCTCACAGGTTCAAAAAGATTGGGGACCTCTGCCCTAAGCATTTCTCACACACCCAACTACTTGTGTAACATAGCTCACGGTATCTTAAGTTGAATTGCTACAACTATGCAATCAATATATATGATGCTGTACAAAGAAGCAAACAAAAATATTATGTGGTCACTGCCTTTGTACAGGGAAAGCTAAATATTGCCACTAAAATAGTTACTTTCATCATATCTATAAATGAATGAAGATAATAATTTATCCAGCTAATAAAAGTGTAATACACAATAGAACTTCAATAATAGCCCTAACAGTAATTAATCATAACTACCTACTTTGCAACATTTCATTAAATTTCCTGCTCAAATTAGGAAATGCTACACTAACAAATGAATTCCCTTCATCTTTCTTCAGCACCGAAAATCGAAAGAATTAATGATCACACTTGTGAAGTAACATGGGAGACACTACAGCCAATGAAAGGGGATCCTATTGTTTACAGTCTTCAGGCTATGACGGGAAAGGACAGTGAATTCAGACAGGTATGTTTTTGGCAAAAGGTTTTTGGAATGAATAAGCATTTCTCTCTCTTTCCAGCTCTACATGCTGGCCCACATAATTTTTGGCAAGACCTTTGTGTAGTATTAAGGATGCTAGTCCCCAGGCAGGGGTGGGGGATCCCCTGATTTTGGGGACTCCTGCCCACCGCTGGCCATTGGGGGTAGCCCCACCCCCAACAGTGGCCACCTGTGGGCACCCCTCTTCCACCCTGTGAGATTTAAAAGGCCCTCCAGCTGATTGGCGGGAGCATGTGGCCCACCAATCATCTGGAGGGCCCTTTAAATCTTGCAGGAGGGGAGGGAGAGGGGCAGCCGCTGACTGCATGCCTGAAATCCAAGCAGCAAACTTGCCAGTGGGGTTCAGGCGCATGCAGACCCACTCTCAAAAATCATTTAAAGGGTCCCTTAACAAAAAATGCCTGGCTACGGGCCTGGCCTCTTCCCAGATATTTCCTTCTCTGGTTCTGAGGCATGAAGCAAAGGGAATATAGCTGAGCAAAGCAAGCGGCAATCCATCTCACTCAAAGAATGTGTTGCCCAGACAGTTTAGAATATGCTATAATTTCAAGCTTCTACATTATAAAGAATTAGCATAGGGAAACCAAATCACAAAAGGGGGGGGGGGAGGAAATTATCAGTGGCATCATCTTCATTCTCCCAATAATGCCCTGAAAATTTGTACATCATTACGCTTGTAAGCATTATTTCCCACCGGAAAACAAGATTTCCTTCCAGGAGGGAAGGAAGCACAACTCTTGTGATTTTATTATAGCCTTAAATTAAATAATAGCTGCCTGTATTCTCATACAGTCCGGAGCTGTGTCATCTGTTTCCCAGAATATGTGCTTATATGTTCCTTCCACATTACAATCGCAGTACAACTCATATTGTAGCCGTGGCATTTATTATACTCTTAAGGACAGACTTTGGACTAGTAGTGTGCTCCATGACCCTGGCAGAATTCAGTTTTCTCAGCATTCTGTCTGCTTAGGGCTGCCAACCTCCAGGTGGTAGCTGGAGATCTCCTGGGATTTTAGCTGCTCTCCAGGGGACAGAGACCAGCTCCCCTGGAGAAAATGGCTGCTCTGGAGGGTGGACTCTATGGCATTGTACCATGCTTAGGACCCACCCCTCCCCAAACCCCGCCCTCTCCAGGCTCCACCCCCAAAATCTACAGGTATTTCCCAACCCAGAGCTGGCAACTCTACCTCTGCTTCACAAAACTGGCAGGGCTGGAGCACCAGTCACTGGACCGAGGAAGCTGGAAAACAGTATCACGCTTTACAAAAGTATCACAACTACGTAATCATTGGTTCTGGGGGATTTAAAGGCTCAGGCTTTGGAGTCAAGAAGTGCAGAAATATTTTAAAACAGTTGAGGTGGGGCATGAACTGGCTGATGTAGTGGATGTCACCTTCACCTCTATAGCACCCTCTGCTAGATTAAGTTAGGGTTTTCTACCAATACTGTTCTAGACATCTCCCAGTCCTCTTGAAATCACTCAGCTCCATACCAATCCATGTAATGCCTTTTATGAAGACCAACCTAAATAACAGAGACCAGTGTATAAGTCTGGGAATTCTCCAGTACTTTTCGTACGTTCTGTGCACTGAAAAGGAACTTTCTGATCATTGCAGGGGTTAAAAAATCTCTTGATATTCACAATATATGTTGATGAAAATGCTGTTGTGAATTTGCTGTGTGGTTAGTACAAATGGGTCTGCTGTGTTACTCAAATCTGTGTTACTCAAATCTGTCCCAGTTTCAGGTCAGTCATGCAACAGTGTCTCCTAGACATAAATCAAGATGGGTAGCCATGTTTGTCTGTAGCAGTAGGAAAGAGCAAGAGTCCAGTAGCACCTTAAAGACTAACAAAATATGTGACAGGGTAGGAGCTTTCGTGAGTCATGGCTCACTTCTTCTTTAGAATTTCTTGCATTGTGCAGGGTAGGGTTGCCAAGTTCTATCTTCACCCCCAGTGGGGGACTTTGGGGGGCGTTCTTGGAGGGGCGGGGCATCCCGACATGATGACGTCACATTGGGGACGTCCCTCCCGCCCACCTGCCCGATCTTCAAGCAGCACCGGCTCACTGCACTGAAAGGGGCCCCTAAGTGCAGAGAGCTGGTGTCCCCCCCCCCACGCACCCAATCTCCGCGGAGATCGGGTGCGCAGGAAATGCCGGCTCCCTGCACTTATAGGGGCCCCTTTAAGTGCAGAGAGCTGGCGCCCCCCCCCCCGCGCACCCGACAGTACCAACTTCCTTTCCAAAGCACCAAGGGTTACTTCCTGCCTTGATCAGTAGACTCAGCTTTTATATTTTCCACACACAAGGCATCTGAAGGACAAAGGAGCTTGGGAGTCAAATAAAACTGGTTGGGGGGGGGGAGCAATGCAACAGGTACTGGGGCTTCACCTACAGGAACCCCTGACAGGAGTCTTGTCAAAAGGATATTAATTTCTTTAATGGATGTCAATTCTTATCTAACGGGAGCTAACTGTTAGGAGATGGTCTCTCGAAGGCTAACATGAAGCAGGTGTCTCCTCCAACTGATTCAGTGGGTCAGGTATGTTTGTAGTTCTGTTCTGTTACTGTGACCTGGATAGCCCAGGCAAGCCTGATCTCGTCAGATCTCGTCAGCTAAGCAGAGCGGACCCTGGCAAGTAATTGGAAGGGAGATCTACAAGTAATACCAGGGCTGGGATGCAGAGGCAGGTAATATCAAGCCACCTCTCTGAAATGACCTAACCCCACTAGGGGTTGCCAGAAGTCACCATGACCTCCAGGCATGCAAGCACGCGCGCACACACAATACTCAGCAAAAAAAGAAAAAGGAAAGCCTTTGTTTTATTTCAGTGGGTAACTTCTGTTATTTTGCACTTCCTTCAGTATCTCAAAAAGGCACTTGCCCTTAGGTTTTGGTGATGTTCAACTTTGAATCATCAGTTGATCCATCATCTGAACACATGACACTGCCTGACACTACATCAGACCCATCAGCATGGCCTACTCAGACTGGCGGCGGCAGCTCTCCATCACCCACTGCCTGGCCCTTTTTAACTGCAGATGCTGGCAACTGAACCTGGGACCTTCTGCATGCAAAGCAGATGCTCTACCACTGAGCCACGACCCCCTCCCTAAAATTCTAAACATCTAAAATTCTTCAGCTAGTCAACTTACCGTGAACAACCTCTATAAAGAAACAGATAGTAATCTCTGGTTATTTTTGTGTGTTTCTTGGTAGATTTATAAAGGTCCTGATGGGTCATTCCGTTATTCAGGCCTCCAGCTGAACTGTGAATCTCGTTTTCGGGTGTGCGCCATTCGACAGTGCAGGGATTCTGCTGGCCATCGGGATCTCGTCGGTCCTTGCAGTGCCACGGTGTCATTCGTCCCTCAGAAGGCAGAACCAACCATTGGCAAGGATGCTGCAGAAAGCACGGAATGGACTCTTAGCGACGAACAGTGTGCAACAGTAATCCTTCTTCTCTTTGCGGTCTTTTCCATTTCCGTTACCTTTATAATTCAGTACTTCGTCATAAAATGAGAAAGCTGCTTTCGTTTTTCACAGCTGCTTGTTATGTTCCACATTTTATCATCACTCCCCAAAAAAGTTAAAATTGCTTTCTCAAAATCTGGATTTTAGCACATTTGTTAAATCAACCGAAAATGCTATCAGAGGTATGCACACTTATCATCTTAAACCACTGAAATTTTTTTTTTGGCAATATACTTTTTAGAAGTGGATGAAATATAATTTTTGAAGCAGCAAACGGTAGTATGATAATAGCTACATTTCATGGGTAAGTTCCGTGAAGCAGAATGGAAAGGAGTGTAAAGTATATATCCGGGTTGTATAAAATGCACATGTGAAGCAGTGAAAAATGACCTCCCACTGTACTTCTACGTGTGCGTTATGATTTCACATGATTAAAGGGTCTTTCCTCAGGCCGTAAACAATAATTCAGATGGGACTAATTGGATAAGCCCTGACCTGAATAAGCCCAGGGTAGCCCGATCTCATCAGATCTCGGAAGCTAAGCAGGGTCGGCCCTGGTACTATTGGGAAGGGAGACCTCCAAGGAATACCAGGGTCGCTACACGTAGGCAGGCAATGGCAAACCACTTCTGAAAATCTCTTGCCTTGAAAGTCCCATGGGGTCACCATAAGTCAGCTCTCACTTGACGGCAAAAATAGAAATTAAAAAATGGATAAACCGAGCTTAATAAAACAATGTGATACCTGAGAAGAAATGACAAATGTTGCTCTCACACAGGCCCGTATCCAGGATTTTTAAAGTTGGGGGGCATTTAAATTTTTTAGGGGGCACTGGCTAATCAAATTAAAGAAATACCCAGCTCCTTCCCCACATCTGCCACCGTTTGGGGGCCCTGGGGTGGCTGGGAAGTTGTGGGGCCTTGCCAGTAAGTCAGGGGGCCTAGCCCCAAGATGCCCTACTGTAGCTACAGGCCTGCTCTCACAGCAGCTGATTTTTTTCACCTAGGGATACCTCTGGAGCTTCTCAGTAAGAAGAGGAGTCTACTTACATAGACATTCACCTCTCTGTAGAAATGTAGGTGTCCTAGAAGGGCCATAGGGCTGGGATACTAATCTATCAACCAGTCATATATTGCCAATTGCCAGCTATCAGGTTACCTCTGCTTGATAAGTGCCAGGAAGATTTGTTTAGTTTCTTAAATACCGTTAATGTAAATTTCATTTGCGTCTTTTTGCTTAACATTTTAGTTATAACTAATAATGAACAGCAATTTCATGGGTTAACCTTCTTCTGCTTGTAATGAAGTACTTCCTGTCCTAGGGCTATAAATGCATGACCAACATTTGCGTAGATCTGACCACTTAACTGCTCAAATAATGTGTTGATCAGCCAAAGGACCAAACTAAGAAGAGCATCACTGATTGCTGTTCTGATGCTGTGACCGTGTGCCATTCTCATCAAATTCTGGTGTCACTATTTTTTTCTTATTAGACCACTAAATTTAAAAAAACAAAAAACACATCCTGATTTTTTACCAGAAAACTTGCTGTTTCTTGGTTAATGTTTAACGTGAAATCTTTTTTGATACAAGATCAGATTGTTGGCTGCATGTCATTAATATTGCATTAAGAGTATATAATCCGTCCATTGTTTGTGAGCTTGCAGTGCAACTCTTTTAAGTTCTTGAGTGGCTAGCTCGGCCATTATGGAGTCTCCCCACTGACCGTGTTGTTGGGTATCGTGGCTTCCAAATGGCACCATATGTACAAGGCACTCTCAAAATCCATCTGATCACATGGTCTGTTATGTGCTTTGTAACTTGCTTTTTGAAATTTATTTCTATTATGAGATGATTTTGTCATATTGTTACAATGTTAAGGGCATTATGCATTTCTCTTCTGTTCATGGGGGTATTTTGTACCTGTTCCTGAGTCTAGTTACATGTGGTATAGTTTAATGTTGTGAGCTGGAAAGACAATGGATGCAGTGAGAACTTCAAATAGTAAATAGTAAAGATTATCTTTTCTGTTTTCCATCTGTGTGCATCTGTATTTTTAGTTTTGTCAATCCAAGAAATTGTAGATGCTTCCCACAAAGTGTCAGTTTGGCGCTGCACAGTAGTCCAGAAATTTCTATGTGGTTGCATGTCTCAAATAACAAGAATAGTGACTGAAGAGAACCTTTATGGTCCTATTTTCCATGATAATGCAAATGAACTATTTTTATAGTAAATAGAATGATGTATTCATCACTAGAGGTTCACTTCAGGTTATTGCTTTGTGGGCAAATTTGACTGTAACCTTATTCTACTTCAGGTCCTACATTCCAGAAACCCTTGCATTTTTAGAATGTTACCTAGCCTATACATATCACTTCAAAACTGTATGACCTCATATAGGCAAAACCGAATAATCGCACGGGACGTTATACATAAACTATGTAGAGAGGTTTCTTTAAAATCTGTGGATAATAAAATATTTTTTCCAGTAACTTTTTCATTTGGTGTTTCAATTATTGGATAGTGTCTGGGATGTTTACTTGCCCGATGATAATTATAATTTGATGACGCTTCTGAATGTATGAAGTAGTATTCTGACGCTGCACTTTGGTAATGCTAATATAGGAGCTGGCTGCATTCAGACATTGTGAGACCCCTCTGCTCAGCTGTGACCAGCAAAGGTGGCTTGTTCCCCATGCCTGCATGTCCCTTCCCTTGCGTACACCTCCCCTTTCTCTTGCTTGTGCAGTGCAAATAAAAGCTGCTTAGTTCTGGAAGGCTCTGGTCAAAAACTCTATTGTGCTATGGTGTCCCCAGGGCAGGTGCCTGGTCTAACTGGTTTCCTTCCCACAACCTGGTTTCTCAACTGGGATTAAATCTCTCTAAAGAAAAAAAAGAGAACATTATTCCTCTCTCCCCTCCATGTTGCAAACGGAATAATCTGCTTTGATTCTTAGCAAGAAAGGCGGCCTATGAGTGATGTCAATAAAAATTAACAGGAACTCTTCTTCCTTTATCTCCTGCTCTCCACCCGCCGTGCCTTAATTACTTAATATGCTCCAAGATGTCACCTAAAACTTAACCCAGGTTTATCTCCGGAGTCAGATTTTTCTTGTAGTAAAAGTGCTTCTGAGCATGCATGGAGTGTCTTTCCCACCCCACTAAAAGTTGTCTCCTGAAATCTCAGGATGCCTTTGGGCACACGGATTTAGGTAGGTTTCCAGTCACAAGGGCTTCTCTGGCCCTTTTCCTACTTCCAGTAATTCTACCAAAAAGAAGATGGATATATATAAAATATTCATTTGCAACAAACCAGTATAGACAAAGGAGGAAATCTCGTTCTTGAAAAGGTTGGTTTTAATGCTCTGTCAGTAGTGCTAGATTCTAGAGGCCGTTGGTGAGTGTGTAATTACTGAGTAGTGCTAGATTTACTATCAGACTATGCCATTTTAGGGGAGAACTTTTGACACTGTATGCATGGGAGACCAATTCTGTTTCATTACGCCTACAATCTGTAAACAGTGTTTTGGTCCATAAACTGAAATCTATCACCATGTACATCTCTGGCCTGAAGCCTTTCCAAACAGAGGAGGCGACCCCAGATATGCATTTGAACATTTTGGTCATGATGCAGAGCCTGTTCTCCACTCATGCAACCAAAGTGAACCTCTGAGGCACTGGAAGCACGACTATGGCTGGTGGTGTGGGAGAAGACAATAGGCTCACCTTACGCCCGTCACTGCTTTCCGGTGTCTCTTAACTCTCTGAAAGGAGGCAGTGATATAGAATTATTATGGTACAGTACACTGCGTGTGTGGCTTGGGTGGAGAATGAGTTGAGAACTACCACTGTGTTAGAAGCCCCCTCTGCCGAATCACAGAAACCTTCTGAGTGGGGGGGGAGGACCTGGAAGTGAAATCACAGGATGTGACATCACAAAAATGTCACATCCTTGCTTCTGGCTCCACCCCCAAAGTCCCCAGATATTTCCTGAGTTGGACCTGGCAACCCTAATCTGGTGTGAGTTAAAGGCAATAATCTCGCATATATTCACAGTTTCATTTCCCTTGTCTCTCTGAAGATTTAGAGATGGGAAAAGGCTTCCTCAGATTGGAACGGGACAGCAAGATAGCTGGGATTTGCTTTGGAAGGCAGTGTGTGACAGCAATATTATGTCATTATGGGTAATGACTATGATTTAATAATCCGTGGGGCCAAACCATCTAACACAACTGGCGTGGTGAGAATGCAGGTGGAGCAAACTGAGCTGCAAACATAGACCAGTGATTGTCCCTACCACATACACAGTTAGCAACCCACACTGGCCATGTCGTCTCTCAACCAGATTTCAAAAGCTATGCGGCGGTGTTGTAGCTGTGGTTGAATTATGTTTGCAACCGAGGGGGAAATTGTACAATCATCCCACCCCGAGCAAAATTCAGCTTGGCATGACTAATGCTCTGGTGTAAAAATAGCTGTTGCAACAGCTGGAAGTGCCCTTGCAGTGAAAGAAAGGGTCCAGGTGCTCCTGACTGTGCCCAGGGCAGGAACTTCCAGCTTCTTCCCAAACCGACCCTGTCTTGTAAAGTGGCAGAACGGAGAGCACCAAAGGAGTGCTCCAACAGACTCCACAGCAGAAATTTCCCTCTCCTTCCACATGCTCCTGTCCACATCAGAAATCCAGGGATGCCTTTTCTTAGAGGGTTTTTTCTCTCTGTGTGTGTGATATCCTGGCAGAGGCTGTACCAGTGGCAGACCTACATTTTTGGGACCCTGAAGCTTGAACTGTTATGGGGGCCCCTTCTCAACCAGCAACAATGGGGCAACATCCAACAAGGGTCAAAGGTAGAAGGTCATCAAAGGGCTCATTAGGATAAAGAGGTATAAATCTAATTTTTGGTGTTAAAATGCACAAGCGAGACTCGTGCAGCCTGAATTGAGAATTCAGATGTCTTTTTATGGTTCTGATTGGCTAAGGGCTGGGCTGTAGAACTATTCAGCCGTGCACCAACGAAGGATTCGAGGATCCAGCTGCCAAAATGTAGGCTATGAATAGACTCTGGTGAGCCCATCGAGCCCATACAGCTGCAAGCCCCGGAGAAAATTCTGAAATTTGACCAATTACAGGGACATTTTGAGGACATGTGAAACAGGTATTCGAGCATATTCTAAGGTCAATATTAAGTACTTCAACCCATTGGCTTATGATTCTGTCACTAAAATAGCCTTATTTTAATAACAAACACTTTTAAAAACTTCATCAATTTTGTTGAAAAATTCACTCATTTAAAAAAAAACAAAAAACAAGTTGCTTCAGGGCCCCTCCAGGATTAGAGGCCCTGAAGCTTAAGCTTCATTAGTTCAATAATAGATCCACCCCTGGGCTGCACCAGGCAGTCAAAGGCACACAGCCCTTCCCTTTGGTGCGTCACAGTGGCCAGAGAGAGAGGGAGGGAGGGAGGGAACTCTCTGACTTACTCGCTGCACCATTCCTTTTCGCCCCATGGGAAACTGTACACAATGCATTGGCTCTAAGAACAAAGTATCTCAAAGCTCCACATCTGCATACCCTTCTCTCTCCCTATCGCACAATTTCTGTTAGACGGATGAGGTCAGGGTACGGCGGGTTGCTCCGGTGCAGTCCTGTGCCCTGATCAAGTGAGGAAAAGAGTTTCAGCCATAACGATACCTGCGAGCAGGTCTGCCTCCTGAGGCACACAGTGCAGACTGCAGCGGCCAGCAGATGAGCTGATGCCGGAGAGGGCAACCAACCACCATTTGAAGACAGACCACCATGGCCATTTGGGGAAGGTGATTAAGCCAGGGGGACCACGAAGCTATATCCTTGGTAACAGTTGCCAGCCTCCAGGTGGGGCCTGGAGATCCCCCCCAAGACTTATAGCTAATCTGCAGGCTTCAGACATCAGTGTCCCTGAACAAAATGGCTGCTTTGGAGGGTGGACTCTGTGGAATTATATCTGACTGAAGTCCCTCCCTTCCCCAAATCTCTAGGAATTTCCCAACCCAAAGCTGGCAATCTTATCCATGGTGGACTATGTCTCCATGGACTGTCCTCTGGGGAGACCAGCCCCCACCCCTCCCAGCATCGCTTGACTTCCACAGATAGGCCAAATCAGCATTCCTGGATTAAGTGAGGAAGGTGGCTGTCGTGCCCACTGCACTCGTTAGGCTAACAAAGACGTCTCTCCCCCAGGTCCATGTTCCCATCCAGCACTGAAGACCTGAAATCACGTGTGTGCAAGCAGGGACACAAAAACACAAGTACGGGGGAGCAAACAGAGTTGCTCAGGGCAAAAGATGTGCCGACCTTGAGGGTCGCGGTGGTTTTGTAGCAGAGGAAAGGAAAAGTGCATTGCCTCTGAAGAATCTAAGATTTGCCAAAGGTAGGGCAGAAGAGCTGTCTTTGCAAAAATAGGAAAATTCAAAAGGCTCTGGAAGACTGCTCCAGTATTGAGGGGCAAGAGTCCACTGAATGAGGGTTCCCAGATAGATTTCGCACCAGAGGATACATTTCCTGCTTCAAAGACATTAAACACGCTTGTTCGACTTGATTCACCACGATTTCCACCTGTTGCTAAGGCGCAAAAAATAAAAGCAGCCTGGATTAGGAGTGGATGTGAAGGCAACGACTCTCCATTGGCTGCTCAGTGAGGAGGAGTTGCCTTCCAGGGGCTGTGAGAGTCTCTATCCATCAAGGCTTGGAGTGTGGACATTTCATTCCCCCACCCAGGGCGTGATGGGTGGTTAAAAAGATAGGCTGCATCCAGGAGTCTGAAAAGGCTGACAACACATCCACTGAGAATGCTGTGAGGGACCACGAGAGCCGCGGGGGAGCTGGAACACAGCACCGACTCCTTGGGGGCAAGCCTGCCTCTTCTGATGGCTTTGGGTGCTCTGTGACAGCCACACCAGAGGCTGGCCGCCGTGCCGCCTGCAGCATGAACTGCAGCAATACCAGCAGTCCTGCGGCATGTCAAGAACAGGAGGCAGAGAGGCTGATGTTTCCGCTGTGCAACAAGTACATCTGCCCACTGCTGCCCCTGCATATCCTGATCCCTGTGACCGTTGTGTGCCTGGCGCTGCTGGTGCTCGGCGTGGCGGGCAACGTTCTAACCGTGATGGTGATGGGCCGCTGCCGAGAGCTCCGCAATACCACCAGCCTCTACCTGGGCAGCCTGGCAGTCTCCGACCTGCTGCTGCTGTTGCTCGGGCTGCCTCTTGACTTGTATCGTCTCTGGCGTTCGCGGCCATGGGTGCTGGGCTCAGTGATGTGCAGTGTGTGGCACTGGTCGAGTGAAGTGTGTGCCTACTGCTCTGTCTTGCACTTGACGGCGCTCACGGCCGAGCGCTACCTCGCCATCTGCTTCCCGCTGCGAGCCAGAGTGTTGGTGACCCGGTGCCGTGTCAAGGTGCTGCTAGTGGTGCTCTGGGCGGTGGCGCTGCTCTCCGCGGCGCCTTTTCTCTTCCTGGTGGGTGTCCGGCAGGTTGGCAATGTCAGTTTCAGCCGTGAGTGTGGGCCCACGCTGCACGCACGCCAGTCGGGACTGCTGAGTACCATGCTCTGGATCACCACCTGCTACTTTGTGCTGCCTGTCCTCTGCCTCTGTGTCCTCTATAGCTTCATTATCTGGGAGCTTCTGTATGGCAAGAAGGCGCACCTTGGTGGAGCGTCACATCGGAGCCACCAGCAGACTGTGCGCATGCTGGGTGAGTAAGCCTGTGGCATGTGGCCATTGGGGGAGAGTAGAGAAGGTACTGCTTTGGAACAGACATGTGGAGTTAAAGTAATATTATTTCCCTCTACGTCCTGGAATAGGTAGATTTTACTTTCTCTTTGTGCAGTTTACCTGTAGGATATGTGCTTGTAGGAGTTGGGAGATGCTAAAATGCAGATATATTAATCCAGCACTTTATGCCACAGTAATGAGAGCAGGATTCAAGTCTGCACATTAGGTTCAAACCAGATGAGACTAAATGTACAAATAGTAAAGCCACATGTGCACAAGAGTGATATGATTTCTGACACAGCATACGAAAATATGAAAGAGAAGGGGGGAACATGAAACCAGTTGGAATCGTAGCAAAACGTCCAAACTTATCTAAATCAAGATTATGTCACCATTTACAAAAGTCAATATATAACAAAGATTTTAACTAATCCGCCTGCCATGTCCCACTGATGCAACTTTGGGTGCACGTGTCGTCAAGTCGCCTCTGACCCATGGTTGACCCTGTGAATTAATGACCTCCAAAATGTTCTATTGTTAACAGCCTGGCTCAGGTCTTGCAAACTTTGCTTAGTTTTATTTCTTCATTCATTCTTCAGGAGTCAGGTGCTTCCCTTCTCCTACATTATGTACATAATGTACATTATTAGGGTCAAAATACGCATCACGTGTGACACGAGCCAGGTTGCAGGTGCCTGACCTGACTGTCTTTCACACGTTCATACGGAGTCTTTAAAGGTCTTAACCTTCAAAAACCCCTCTGTAGTTCTGCACTGCTCCAGACGCAGCAAGGAGGGGACGAAGAGACTTCTGGTTTCCCTCCCATGCCATTTTCACCAGCAGAAACAGCCATGGGAAGGCCTGTTTGCCCTTTCCTTGAGCTCTTCGTGTCCTGGGATGGACGTGGCGCAAAGACCTTCTCCTGAAAGTGATTTTGCTAGTGGAATGGATTAACACAATGCAAGTCAGTATACTTAGTTTTATTTCTTCATTCATTCTTCAGGAGTCAGGTGCTTCCCTTCTCCTACACCGGAATGTACATTATTAGGGTCAAAATACGCATCACGTGTGACACGAGCCAGGTTGCAGGTGCCTGACCCGACTGTCTGTCACACGTTCATACAGAGTCTTTAAAGGTCTTAACCTTTAAAAAACCCTCTGTAGTTCTGCGCTGCTCCAGACACAGCAAGGAAGGGATGAAGAGACCTCTGGTTTCCCTCCCATGCCATTTTCACCAGCAGAAACAGCCATGGGAAGGCCTGTTTGCCCTTTCCTTGAGCTCTGCGTGTCCTGGGGTGGACGTGGCGCAAAGACCTTCTCCTGAAAGTGATTTTGCTAGTGGAATGGATTAACACAATGCAAGTCAGTATATCTCACTGGCACCACAATGGCCAGAGCCAACTCTCCTGTGACACAAATCAATCAAGTAATTTTCTTTCCTGCTTCCCCCCCTTTGCAGTTGTGCTGGTTCTGGCTTTCATAATCTGCTGGCTGCCCTTCCACGTCGGCAGGATCATATACGTCAATTCTCGGGATTTCAAGATGATGTATTTCTCCCAATATTTCAACATTTTCGCCCTGCAGCTTTTCTACTTGAGTGCTTCTATCAACCCAATCCTTTACAACCTCATCTGCAAGAGGTACAGGGCAGCCGCTTATAAGCTACTGATGACCAACAGAGCCAGAGAGAGGGCTTCTACTATTACCAGAGAAACTGTTGGCTACACGGAGACCAGCAGTAGCATCAAGAAGGGGAACGCTGCTTATTTGTGAGACTTTTTTTTCCAGGGCTTTCACTAACACTGTTTTAAGCAGGTTTGTCAGATTAAGGGCAGTTAATGTTTAGCCTTCCAGTTTTTAAAAAGAGTTGAAATGTATCAGTCTCTTATCGAGGTCTGTCACTGTGGGGCTTTATCTTCTTCTGAACAATTAATGCTTCTAATCTGTGCTGCCACATATCAGAATGTCCCTTTTGTTTCAGACGTGGGATAGGGAAAATGTCTAGATTTGTAACAACACTAATTTCAGCCACTTAAGTGTTGGCCACGATGGACTGCTCTTAATTGAGAACTGCAAGGGGAACAGACTCTGTGTTTTCAAGTGCTCCAGTACGACGAGAAAGAAGCCGGGCGGCAACACAAATATGTTCCGGAGATTACAGACTCATTCCAGAAGAGTATGGTGAAGCAGGCCATGTACTTTTCGACACTGCCCATGACCGTATAGAGTTTTTGTATCAAATGGGGAAACCTCAGTTTAAACCAATCTGTACAAGACCATCCCACTGCCAAGGAGTGCTAATAGTGCAAGGATAGCACATCCCCAGTGAAGTTACCGGCTTCCTCTGTGTCGAGATCTGACTTTCAGTAGATTCCCGCAATGAACCTGCTCTGCCGTGTATGGAACCCTGACCTAGAATCAGGTTGTCTACAAATGATTTAGTAACAGGCTCAGTGAAGTTAGTATCAAGTGGATAGCCATGCTAGTCCGTAGCAGCAGAACAAAATTCAGATCCAGTAGCACCTCGAAGACCAAGCTTTAAGGTCTTAAAGGTGCTACTGGACCCGAATGTTGCTATCCTGCAGCCTATGCTCATATCTGAGACGGCTATATGGGGACGCCAGCCTGGAGGTGGGACCTGGGGATCTGCTGGAATTACAGCTCATCTCCAGAATTCAGAGAGCATTTCCCATGGAGAAAATGGCTCGTCTGGAGGGTGGACTCTATGGAAATAGATTCCACTGAGGTCCCTGTCCTCCCCAGGTTCCACTGCAAAATCTCCAGGAGTTCCCCAGCTTGGATCTGGCAACCCTACCCCCCCCATTCCCTGCTGGTGGCCGGGGGGGGGGACCTGGCAACCCTACGTACAACTGGCCATTTCTGAAATGGCTATTCTTAGGGCAGAATACACAGGGTTGCCTAAGAGTCTCCACAGACCCCCAGACAATGATCACGGCTGGCCCTGTCGCCACATGGCCCAGAGCCAACCCAAACACCAGAGGAAAAGCAAACCATAGGACTTGCCTGTGTTCCTGGGTCCCCCAGAGTTACAAGGGATCTTGGGACTTTTACCTCCTTAGTCTTCCCCTTCCCCACCTTGGCAGCTCTGAAAGTATATATCCAGACAGATCCTGTGCATATTTAAACGGAAGTGAGCGCCACTGAGTTAGATGGAAATTACTCTTGAGTAGTTATAGCAGGATTTAGGATTACTTGGTAGAAGCAGTCCTTGGAAGAAGCATAAAATACCCTAAAAATGTGCAGTTTTGAGCCTAATCTGTAGAAAGAAAACAATATAACAATGAGGGATGAAGAAACAATGGTGGTATTTTCTGCACTAGGACATCCATAATTATCGGAGGAATACCTTTCTAGTCTAAAGGGCATTCCTCAGACAATGATACATATAGCACTTTAGTGCTTCAGAGTGTGTGTGTTTTGTTTTGTTTTAATCTAAAGAGAAAAGGCTATAATGAAAAAAACAGTTCTCTGGTATTTTTTAAAAGGTGAGAACAGGAAGAATAACATTACAATTTAATTCAGTATGGACAGAATATACCAACAGAGGCCAATAGCACCTTAGAGACCAGCACAATTTTCAGAGCTTTTGGGAGTCAATTTCAGAGCTTTTGGGAGTCCACAGTTTTCAGAGCTTTTGGGAGTCAAAGCTCATACCCCGAAAATCTTGTTGGTCTCTACAAGGTTGCTGGACTTGAATCTAGCTGCTACAATTTGTGTAACTGTAATAGAATCAATTTTTTTTCACAGTGAACTTTGGTGGGGTGTAAAGGTAAAGGTTTCCCTTGCTCGAAAGCCAGTCGAATCCGACTCTAGGGATACGGTGCTCATCTCCGTTTCCCAGCCAAAGAGCCAGCGCTGTCCAAAGACATTTCCGTGGTCATGTGGCCAGCATGACTAAATGCCAAGGCGCACGGAACACTGTTACCTTCCTACCGAAGTGGTACCTATTTATCTACTTGCAATTTCTTGCTTTCGAACTGCTAGGTTGGCAGGAGCTGGGGCCAGTGACAGGAGCTCACTCCGTCACACAACACTAGGGTCTCAAACTGCCGAACTACCGACCTTCAGGTCTGCAGTTCAGCGTCTTAACCACGTGAGCCACCGCAGCCCCCTATTGGTGGGGTGTACCTTTGGTTAATCACTGTGGTCCATTTGTGGCTCGAAATTACTTGGGAGGTTGGCCACCCTTGTTTGGCACCGGCTGGGGGACGACCAGGCCGGGGAAATTGCAGTGAAACTCGCCATGTAGAAGCCCCATTGTCGCTGTGCTTTATCAGCAGCCACATCAGCAATGGGGAAACCATACAACCATCTGTGCACAGAAATAGCTGACTCATACGGAATTATTTTTTCAAGCTGATTCTGATTTCTAGTTTTAAAATGATCAAAAAACGTTTTAGTAAGGAAGACTGGATAACACAAACAAATGAAGTAAGTAAAGATATTTCAGTGGAGATACGGTTGCCGGGTCCTCCCTGGCCCCTGGAAGGGGATGGGCGGTAGAGTTGCCAGTTCCAGGTTGGAAAACTCCTGGATATTTGGGGGTGGAGCATGGGGGGGGCAGAAACTTCAGTGGGGTGCAATGCCACAGAGTCCACCTTCCAAAGCCTCCATTTTCTTCAGGATAACTGATCTCTGTAGTCTGGAGATAAGTGGTAATTCCAGGGGATCCCCAGGTCCCACCTGGAGGCTGGCATCCCTAAGTGAAGAACTTTATGAACAGCATATGGATGGAAAATTCCATTTTCTTCTAGTCTACAGTATGATAACACCATTGTCTTCTGGTGTAGCAGGAGAGTTTTCTTCACTGGGACTGTATTCTATGTTAATGAATATTAGAGACTACTCTAAAAGAAAACCGGCAATGTCGTTAGTTGAACTATTTCAAAACACAAGATGAAGTAAATACTGTGAAAACTGCATCTACTCCAATGGGGGATCTTCCACACTGAGGGGGAATAAATGGACATGAAAAATCCCGGGTGGGTGGGGAAGCAAAGCAACACTTTTTCGTTTACCCACTCATCCAGACGACAAATACGATTTCCCATTTTGAAAAGAATGTTTTATCGTAAGCAAAAAAGTAAGTAAGAAAGAACAAAGAGAAATTATTACTTGTGTGACAATTTTGTTATTTTCAGCTGTAAATAAATCATTGTAAAAAATCTGAAGTGTGCATTTTCCCCTCAAGTTTTATACTGCCATCTCACAGAGAGTTACATACTTCTAAGTCCACTGAAGACAATGGGTGTGAAAGGGTGTAAGTCTGCTTACGATTGTACTGCTGGGTACCTCATGCTGGCTACAGTAGCTGTAGTGGTTAAGAATGTTGAACTACTGTCTGGGAGACCTGGGTATCTGATGCTAAGTTTTTAAAAAACATTTTATTGAGTCTTAGTTAGAAAGATTGGTTATAAGCACTGTTCCCTCTAAGCTGGGTTAGTGTGAGCTAGCTCTCAGTTTTTTAGCCTCCAGCTCACGCATTTTTGTCTTAGCTCAGGAAGGATGGCTCCAGAGAAAACTAATTTATGCAGTGGCCAAATCGCTCGCTCGCAACTTTAATGCCAGTAGCTCACAAAGTAGAATTTTTGCTCATAAGACTCCACAGCTTAGAGGGAGCACTGGTTATAATGGAAGTAAATATCATTTCTCACAAAGGCATAACATTTCTCACATTGCCCTAGAAGGTCTACATGCCAAAGTAAATAACACTTCTCACAAAGCCCCAGAAGGTCTACATGCCAAAGTCTCTCCCTGTTGGCACACCCAGGAACTGGTATTCACAGAAACATAGAAGTTCCATTTAGCCATCATAGCTAATGACCATGAACCTATTCCCTACAAATTTGCCTCATCTACTTTCCAAGCCATCTAGACAAGTGGCCACTGACTACATTATAGGCGGTTTGTTCTGAATATCTGTTTCACAAATGAGATTTAAATCAGTTTTTGCATTTCCCATGCTTGGAGCTTGAATATAAAACTCCCATTGGCTGGAATGTTCATGCAATTTGTTGCTCCCTTTTAGTTTCTGTTTTATGTGGGACCCTAGTGTATGGAAGTTGGGACCCGCAACAAAATGTTGCGGACTGTGTAGGGGGAGCCCTGAGATTTAATCTGATGGTGCTGAAGGTGGGCAGGTGGGCAAAGAGGCTTCTTACCCAGCTTCTTACCCAGCTGCCTGCCTCTGCTTGCATCGTCTCAGTCTCAGTGCTCAGCAGCGGAGGGGAGAGTTGGGGAGGTCAGCTGAGGCTATGGTGCTGGAGGCAGATGGGTGGGTGAGAGGAGCCTCCTTGCCCTTCCTGAACTTTCCCCTTGGCTGCTGACCTCCGAGACTGCAGCGATGGCAATGAAAGCAGGTGGGTGGGGAAGGAGGCTCCCTCTCACCCAACTGTGTGCTTCCAGCCCTGCTGCTTGCCTCTTAGGGTTGCCATTTGCCAGTTCGAGGCGAGGGACTGCCCAATTTTGCAGACTCCTGCCTCCTGGCAGCCAGCTGGCAGGTGGGAGGAAATCCCTGCCCCCAATAGCAATGTCGGGCGATGTTCCTACATCACCCAGAAGTTACATGAGCACACTGGGGGTGACGCTCTGGTTTTTGGGCAAAACTCTATGGTTTGAAGATGATTTTACCATAGAGTTTTGCTCAAAAACAAAACAAAACAGAGCGTCGCCCCTGACATGCCTACGTCACTTCTGGGTGACATAGGCACATCATGGTGCTCCTCCCCAATTCTGGAAAGTCCTTCCTCCTC